CTGCTGATGCCTGAACGGTATGTGGAATGAAGTGGGCGGGCATCGGGAGGCCACTATGGCACGGGGCAAGCACTATGGGCAGTCTATCTGAAGTGTACCTGGCGTATAAGACGACCCCCCACTTGGAGGCATATTTTTCAGGGCCAAAAAATCGTCTTATACGCCGGCAAATACGGTAAGTCAGAGATATGAAAAATCATAGAATGTGACCCAATGCAAAACAAAACTACTTTAAAATATTATTTCAAAATTCATGTATATATATAAAATTTATTTTTAAGAAAAGATGTGAAACATTCTGTGGCCTTATAAACACCAAAGCTACTATTACCAGTCATGTCCAAGGAATAAATAAAATGAAGCACTACTCAGAGGCATTACTACACACACACACACACACACACATACACACACACACACACACCTAGTGTCTGGGGACAGGGATCCCTCGGAAGACGCTCCGTGGTACACACTCTGAGACAACCTGTTGTCGGGTCTGAGCTCTTTGTCATATGCCATCATATTCCACTCCTGGCGCCTGTTTCTGGCTTTTCTAACCTTTTTCACCTCACGGGTTGTGCCATCTATACGCTTTTGCTCCTGAAGTCCAAGAAAAGAAAGCAAGCATGCCGAGACAGGAGAGAAAGGACAACAGGTTAAATGCAGTTATAATGCTCAGGACATAAGCATGATGTGCAGATAATGTTAGAAAATTCTAACACAGTGCCTACTCTTACCCAACACAGACCCCCCCAAAGGTAACAAATACTTAACTATTTAACCCAAATAAGTAAAAATTACTCTGCTGCAACTATCAGAATTACTATCATTTTTAGTAACGAATTTTCATCTTACTAGGCATTTAGCTTATTTTAAATATACTATACCTTTTAGATCTATATTATACAGATGAAATGTCAGATGGCACCATTCAGAGATATCATTTTCCACCCCTACACAATTTTGACTGGTTTGTTAACATGCAATCTTTCAAAAATAATTCAAAATGTTCTATTTCCAGTTTCTAAAAGAAATATTTAAGCTAATCCTGCAATGAGCCAAACCCAAAACAAAAATAAGGTACAAACTTACCTTCCCATACAAAGACTCATTCTTGCTCCAGCCCTATTTTGCCAGCAAAAATGTATCCAATAAATACTTGTCCTACATGGGTACTTCTTTAAAGGCAAGAACAATTATTTCTGTTGTTTATATATTTTTTCTGTTTCCCTCATAAAATTTTATGATCTCTAAGGACAAGAACTATGTGCCTCTAAGTTCTACACTCCTCTTACAGTCCTTCCACACGTCATTTACCTAGGGTGCACACTCAATCAATGCTGCCTAATGATCAAATCCAGTGAGCTTACAGGGCATGCTATGTCTCAAACATGCCAGGCATCAATGATACAAAAGGAAAACAACAACAAGACGGGTGTCTGCCCTCATGGAGCTTGCAGTCCAGGGGGGAAGCCTACAACATCACAGAAATAAATGTATAATTATAAAATGTAGTAAAACATAAATGCACTATGTGTAGAATGCTGTCTAGGTTGGAAGTCAGGGATAGCGTCCATGAGTGAGTGGGAGGAGGACCTGTGATGACTGGCATGGATTGCAGGGAGCCCGTCAGAGCAGGTAAGAGGGGACAGAGTGGGCATGGGCTCCCAGGAGGAGGAAGAGCACCACTTAGGAGAAATAAAAGGTGAGAGGCAAATGAAGGTTAATGGCCCCAAAGAGCTGAAAGGTAAGCGAGGTCTCAAAGGCTACATTAAAAATGTTGTTCTTTATCCCAAGAATAGTGGGAAAGAACTGATGAATAAGAAGGGAAGGGCTGATATACTGAAGAAGAGGCATTTGAAAAGATCCCTCCAGGCTGGGGAGCACAGACTGAAGGAGAAAGGTAGAAAGCTATTCAGGTGGTCTAGTGAGGAGGGTAGGCGGCTCATGGTGGTAGTGAAGACACAACGACCAGACTGTTTTTGGGTAAAAAGGAGGCACAGACAATGTGTTGACAAAGAAGGTAAACATGAAATTCACAGAACATATATAAAGGGTTAATAAAGATGAAAAGATGTGTAATGCAAATTAGATTTTTTGGAAGGAAGGAGGGCTCATAAAAAAAATAATATCCAGGACTGGAGGAGGCCTGTTAAGAGTATAGACTGGTTCAGTGTTTTAAGGGTCAGGAGCAATTAGATGGTATCTTTCAAAATTCAAACCTCACATTTGACTTCTATGAATTTGCTCTGAAGAATATCTGCATGTGAGTACAGGGATATCTACTACAGTATTGTAAATAGTAACAATTTAGAAACAACCTAAATATTCATTACTCTAGTAATGGCAAATAGTTTATGATAACTATTAAAATGCTACATAACTTCATAAAAAGGATGAAGTACATCTTCAATTATGGCAATATATGTGTATGTCTGTGTGTATAAGTTGTGTGTAGTACAATTCTATGCATATAAAATACTTTGTGAAATGTATATGCATATATTTATGAATAACTGAAAAAAAATCTAAATCTAAAAATATGCATGCCAAGCTGCTAAATGTTAATGTAGTTATGCCCATGGAAGAAAAACATATCCCCAATTTACTTTGGTGTAATTTGAGCATTTCACAACCTGCATGTATTGTTTGTATACTAAAAACACACACAAACAACAAAAAAACCCACCACCACAACAACAACAAAAAGGAGGGAGATTTCAATGGATCCCAATATACATCCTAATTAAGAATCACTGTATTAAATTAATTAGACTATCCCCCTTACTTTTAAGAGACGAATGCTGACATATTTAGGGACTGTTATAATAACTCTCTTTGCAATAGTTTGGCTTCCAAATTTACCCATCAACATGCACACACCACACACACAGAGGCCACATATGACAGAATGAAGAACACTGGTGAAAATTAAATATTTTTGCCAAAAGTATCACTGGGAAGGGAAACCTAGAAGGCAATTTAAAAGGACTTTTGCCTGATTACTACCAAGAGATGTGGGTTTAAGACCAACATGACTAAGTATCTTTTTTTTCTGTCCCAGACAGTGGGGTCTTCCTTTTCTCCACTTGAACACTTTGTAGTTTCTTAGCTTGAATAATCCTCCACTTGAGCACTCAGCAACTCTCCCAAGATTCCCCAGTGAATCCCAACCATGAGCACAAGAAAAGAGGAAACAAGCCTTTGGAATTCTCTCCTAGAATCAGTGGTAACATCTTACACTTACAGTCTGCAAATTTTCATGTACTCTGTTGTAAATCCTAGTTTCACATGCTCTTCCATCTCAAATTGTCGCTCCTATTGAGCTAAGACACCTAAATGCCTCAACATCTTAAGACCTCGAACCCACAAAAAGGTAAGCATTTCTCTTAACTAAAGTACTCTAATATTTGTCAAGCAAACCAGATGGTCATTTTTAAAAAACATAGCTTACATATAAAAAGTCTTAGCAAATAGTATCCTTTGGAGAATTAACTCTTCTCAGTGGCTTAAACCTAATTTCTGGGCCACAAAGGAACAATTTTCAAAATATAAGTCCCCACACCTGCAGAGAGTGAGCTTGTCCCTCCAAGAGTGCTCACAACCTTCAGAGGGTGCTTCTCAACCTTCAGACTTGCAGTGACCTTGCCTACGTCTACCCACCAAAGGAGTCTCACGTCCAGTAAATACCATCTTCTGAACTTGCCGATCACACGCTTTTCAATCCAATATGAACAGCTCACTAAAGCATTAATTACAGCTAGGTGGCAATCCAGTTATGAAGAAAGCTTTAAATTGATGGAAGCAAATAATTATTTCTGATACGGAATATTGACTGCTTTATGAAATTTGAAAGGACAGGAGAAAAGTTCTAAAACATGGTTAAAAACAAAACTGGAATTTTAGCCACTACTTTTGTGAAGCAAAGCAAGTGTTAGAGAACAAATCAAGAGTATTTACAGAAAAATAGTATTACTGTGTTAGACGGACTTATCTGTATCTGCCTGTATAAACTACAATCTCTAAAAAACCTTCATCTCTAAATCCAACATCACAACCATTCAAGTAAAGAATTTACTTATTTCTTTCCAAACAAGAATCCATTTACACATTTATATGCACAGTTCCCCTAATGGAATTATTTACCTTTTGACGCCTTTTCTCTTTCCTTTTGTCTTCTGTGTCCTGTAGCATTTTTTCTTTCCAGAGGTCAAAGAAATAGGAAGGATCAGTATAGAACTTCAGCCCATCCTTTTTATCATCTCTATAAATCAAGATATTACAAGTCAGAGAGGGAAAAAGACTGTTAGATATCTTCATATGGGAATAACATAATTCTTTTTTTTTTTTTTAGAGAGAGAGAGAGAAACATCGATGTGAGAGAGACACATTGACTGGTTTCCTCCTGTACATGCTCCGACCAGGGCTGGGAATAGAGCCTGCAACATAGGTATGTGCCCTTAACCGGAATTGAACCTGGGACCCTTCAGGCTGCGGGCCAACACTCTTTTCAACGAGCCAAACCTAATTCACTTTTAACTCATGAGATTATAGCATCTACATGGGGCATTTTAACTGTCCTATACATTATTAAGTTTCTCAGATTTCCTTACTTAAAAAAAAGTGTAAATATTTAAGAACATCAACTTTTTCTAGAATAATCAGGTAAAAAGTACTCTTGCAAATTTAGATTTAAATATAGAAAAGTGCTCCTAAAAATCACAATATGGCTCAGAAACAGTAATATTCAATACCTCAATTACTTTAGGAAATGTTCTGTTTATTCCAACAGGGGGCTATATACACAGAAACAGATGGATTCTTTACACACACACACATTTACTTTTACTCTGGAGTGTCAATGTTATGAGGATAAAGATTAGTAAGTACTTTGTCCCCTTTGCTCAATAAGTTTTGCCCAATATCTAAAAATTCACTTAGGAAAAAGAAAAACATTCATAGTGTGTAAATGTGACTAAGAAAAACAGTAATGAAATATTTTTAAAGTGGAAGTAACCAACAAAGAAAAATCACTTGTAGTCATTTCATTTTCAAGCACTGCTATAATTACTATGGTCTAGAGAGAATATTTCAAGTCTTTGTATAAGTTATTCATTAAAATAATGCAGCCAACATGATTTAAAAGTATAATATAAATCAATAAGAAATCTAAAACTAATCATGGTATGAAGTAAACACTCTAGTCTGTCAATGCTTTAAAAGTATCGGCCTGTAGATTACCTTCAAGAGGAAGAAAAACACATTTCATATCAGTATTTCACTAAGTCATTTAAGGCACGGAGAGGAAGCAAAAATTAGTAAAATGAGTATAGGAAAGAGTTTATGCCCAAATAGTCAAAGAAAGCTAAGTGAATTATTCAAGGGGCAAAGCCATCTGTCCTTGCATCTCCTCCTCTGCCACGTCCTGTAATCTCATCAAATGAAAAAGGCCTTGTTCCTCTGAGGGCTATTCTGGCCCCTCTCTGAAAACCACTAACAAACCAGTGCACTGTACTCTATACTTTAACCTCAGTCTACTTACAATACTTTCTTTTCCAAATTTCTAACTGATAAGCGATGTGCAGTAAGAGATTTTATTTAAAACATTGTTGTGAAAACCATGTTTCCCTAAATACTAGACCTTCAATATAGATAACAATATAGAAAATTTGAGCATGAACTTGCTGCAAATTTAAGATATACAATAAATTCACATTTTCAAAAGAATGAAGCTAATACTTAAATGAGGTCAGAAACTTACATAAGTAAACAAATATTAACCTTGACTTAAAATATAAGCAAAAATGTCCTATGTTCATAGAACTAAACATTTGATTTTTCAGTCACATTGTACTTCTCATATATTAACTGTGTTAGGACAGTGTTATACTTAAGCTCAAATGCAAAGTTTGTGCTTTACATACCCCAAATATTACTGTACTGAGCAAAAAAGAAAACAGAGAATTCATGGACATGGACTAAGCAGTGGTTCTCAACCTTCCTAATGCCGTGACCCTTTAATACAGTTCCTCATGTTGTGGTGACCCCCAACCATAAAATTATTTTCGTTGCTACTTCATAACTGTAATTTTGCTACTGTTATGAATCATTGTGTAAATATCTGATATGCAGGATGTATTTTCATTGTTCGTGACTCACAGGTTGAGAACCGCTGGTGATTATAGGAAAGGGGAGGAGGAGGAGAAGTAGACATGAAAAAATTAAATTTAAAAATATTTATAAAGTAGATTTGAATTGGTGCTGCTATTCTTAAACACACTATTAAAAAGTCATGGAGATTTTTATTTTCCATAAAACTGAATACACACATACAGTATATATATATGTCAATTTGTTTTTTATGCAATTAAAATTTTTAGATCATCACAAATATTTCATCTTGATCCTAATTATTCACAAATAAGTGTAAGTGGTTAGTTGAGCACAAGCAAAATTACAAGTTAAAACTTCAGCTCACAATACCACTATTTACATATATCATTGATTTTAAATAAGTGTGCTAAAGCCTCCAGAAAAGTATGCTTGTTCCTTAGAAAAATGTGGCATCTTGCTCGTCTCCCGTCAGTGTTTCCATGGGCTCTCACATTTTTTTTGAGAGAACCTTTCTCCCCTTCCTGAAAGAAAGGGATGTTGTGGGAACTGCTGCTTTACCAGCGGAGCTATAGGTCCAAACTGGGACTCCTGGACCATGAGAAGGTGCAGGAATTCAGACCAAGAAAAACTCTGGGCACCCCTGAGAACCAATGGCCTATGAAGGCAGTAAGAAGAAGCTAAAAACTCACTGAAATCTGAAAGGCCTGCGTAGGACTATCACCCACAGGGCTAATCCTGGGGCAGTGAGGGCGACCCCCCACCACCATCTGCTCATCAGAGGCTGAAGGAATGAGCTCCACAGAAGGTAAAAAGATGGGAGAGGAACTTGATGTGCAATGAGAACGGATATGAAAAAGGGAGACAGACAAGAAAGTGACAGGAAATGTGGAAAGAAAGCACTGATGTGATGGGAGGTAGTACCGGTGTTGTAAAAAGCATAGTTTCTTAATGTTAACTTTTTGCACTATTTTTTATTCTTTTTCTTGGAAGTCTGGTCCTGATAATGTATCCTACCATTTTACAATAACAGAAAGTTAATTTGTTGACTATATTTTCACTCCTGAAAACCCCAAATGCTGCAGAATACATTTTTCTAAATTAAATAACAAATGTCTGCAGGGCTGACATGCTGAGACGGCTATTTTGCTGCATTCTAACTGATTATGCAGCCCCTTTGAGAGTGACTTTGAATCTGAGGAACAACATAAATACACACAGTACTGTTATGTAATGTGCTCACTTCCACTTATGATGTCTACATTTAAAAGCTAAAATTAGAACTCACACTTTTCTTGATAAGTTTATCTATATTTTGAAATATTAACACTTTAACAATACTGTACCAATGACTAATTTCATTGTAATGCTGCAGTTCTTATCTTCAAAGTTTGAAAGATACTTTCATAACACTGTCACCCTCTTTCGACTTATCGATACTGACAAGGCCCCGGGAACACCTGAAGCCATACCTGTACGGTGTCAGAATGTTCAGAGGAGGTGGTTTATCACTCTGGTTGTAGATGTCAGCTACAGGATTAGGAATGCTGTTCTTCGAAACTACCTGCTGGTCTTGGACTGTGGAACTTTTGAAAGCTTTTTTCATGTTGATATCCTGCAGTGACACTATTTAGAGAAAAGTCCCCAAGTTGAGTAATATCAAGATAGTTTCACTGTTTACAAATAAATACAATTTGAGTCAGAATCATAAAAATCTCCTAGAATAATCAAATAATGTGGTTGTTGTTTTCATTTAAAGACATTCTAAGGTAGCATGTGAGTTCCTTCCCTCTCATAACTCACAGTGACCTCTTTTGTAGCGATCTAATTACTCCATTGAACCTAATATTATAGCATTGTTATTCATTTAAATAGGACTTACTGGAAATCACACAGAAATATAGTTATAAGTATTAACAGTCATGTAAATACATAGATCTGGGCATCCAGGGGGGAGGCATTCGAACAGTTAATACCATCCTATCTAATAAAAGACAAAAAGGGTAATTAACCGTACCTCTGCTATGCTTCCCATTGGCTAACCAGTATGATATGCAAATTAACTGCCAACAAAGATGGCAGCCGGCAGCCACGCAGCTGAAGCAAGCAGGAGGTTTGCTTGCTCCAGTGATGGAGGAAGCCAAGGTTCCCTGCCTGCTGTGGCCTGCTCTAAGCTCTGAAAGCAACAATGTTTCAATTATAGAATCTAAACAAACCCCAGCTACCTGCTTTCAGCCACCGACAGCCTCAGAGCTGTGAGCACCAGTGACGGCAACAGAGTTTCAATTATAGAAGGTAAATAAACCCCAGAATTAAAAAAAAGAAAAAAAAGGAGAGGCTGGGAGCTTCAGTCACCGGACAGCCTGAAAACGGCCCTCAGCCCCTCACCCAGACTGGCCAGGCACCCCAGTGGGGACCCCACCCTGAAGGGGGTGTGACCAGCTAC